TCCTTCTGGCACTCCTGCAGCTTCTTCTGCAGCTTAGCAAACTCAATGCGGATCACCTCCAGGTTGCTCTTGTCGAACGTCTCCAGTTGGTTCACGATGAGGGTCATGTTGTGGATCTGGCACAAACAAACACAGTTACCATTATAACCGGTAAGATGACAGGAGCAGTAAAGTCTTGAGCTTGACCTCTCACCTCAGTGTACAGACTGTCGAGCATGGGCGAGGTGGAGTTGAGGGAGTCTATGAGCTGAGACACCAGAGCCTCGAACTCTTGGAGCTCAATCCTGAGCAGCTCAAAGTCCAGTTTGATGTAGTTGTCGGGGCTGCTCTCCAGCATGGCCACTCTCACAGTCAGGTCCATCAGTTCTGCCAAGAAGATATCCAGTTTGCCTCCGTCATGGGTGAGCTGGAAGACACACATCCAGCAGTTTGTACACTGTGAAGCAACTGCTGTCATATAGTTGTAACACTTCCTTACTTAATTTTTATTACACATAATTGCTTCAATATAGAAACATACACAAGACAAAAATAAACCAAAATAAACTAAACTAAAATAGAATAAAATAAAATAAGATAAAATAAAAATTCATTAAAATCAAATTTAAAAAATATCTTTAAATATAGATAAAAATAATAATCTATCAAAAAATGTTTTTCCTGTAGGTAGTTATCACTAGGGATGTAACAATCTGGATATATAGTATATATCAATTTATTGATATACAATCCAATATAATCAGTGCAAAGTAAAAACATAAAAACATATTGTCATCTTTAAGTTACACCTTTATTTTGAAATGTAACACCATTTCTGTCCAAGTGTACCTCTTTTCTTAACACTGAATCAGTGCTAGTGTCCTATAGCACCAGGCAGACAATGAGGATATTTACTGATATCCTATATTGATTGCAGACCCCTGAACTGAATCGAATCAAAATTGAATCAGCTTGTAGAATCATCAAATATTGTATTGTCCCTGAAAGAATCAGCATAATATTGTGTCATGACTTCACTTGTGATTTACAGCTATAGTAATCACCAGTGTCCAACTTCATCCTACAGTATGGTCAACATAATATTTTATCTTCAACAACTTAACCACAAAACAGGAATGATGTAAACGTTATTCTGTATTAATTTTTACTCTAAACAGTCTGTGGCTGATTATGGTTCTCAGTAACATTTTGAATGGTTGATTATTGCAACAGCACATTGTATATTTTAGAAAAAATATACCTAATATCAGATTACTTGGTCTGACAGCAAATAAAAAAGAATATCAGAATGCATTTTGTATGCCAAATATGTTGGCACATACAAGGTTTCTGACTCTGATTGCCCATGGCTTTTACTAAAGATAGAGAGCAAATGCACAGGCAAATACAGTGTAGAAATACAAATCAAATAAGACACGAAAACCAAACAAAGACAACATATATATATATATATATATATATAGTGTCAAAGTATCATATATAGTATCTATATACAGATAAAACTACACATGTAATTCCCTTTCATGATGTATCTACTTTTGTGGTTCAATTTTCATTTTTTCTTTTACTTATGATATATTTGGATTTAAGATTCTTCTTGAAAAAAATCTAACCAAAATATGGCTTAGTCATCTGACACACTTGCTCAAAACTTCTAAACATCATGAAAAACACTGGCTATGGTGTGTCATACTTACTTTATTCATGTGGATCTCCACCTCCAGCCTCAGGTCAGTGGTAACCTGCTGCATGTGTTCCACTCGGTCAGCGGGGAAGTTGCTGTCGGGCAGGAACACACTGCAAACACACTCATCTCTTCCACCAGATGTGGTCACGTTCCCTGACTCCCAGTCTTCCACCGGCTGCAAGGAAACTCAGTTATCTTATTAAGATACTACACAGAACACATTTTAATAAGGACTAGCAGTCATCTTTGAAACTTACGAGCCAAGCCAGCGCAGGGCTCAGTATGGGAAGGAGAAGCAGCAGAGTCAGAGGCATTGTGTGTCTGCTGGCAGGATGTCTGCTTGCTATTCTGATCGAAGGGTTTTACACCTCTATTCAGCCAACAGAGAGCGTGTGACGTCATCCCACAGTAATAGCTATTTTACTAGCATCCTTGAGATCAGTGCAGGTGTGCATGTTAAACACACTGTCCTGGGATTGCTACATAATGATATGTAATTGGGTTTTTTCCTCTGAGAAATTTTAGTTTATTTAGTGACTGAAAAAGACATAAGGATGGAAATATTAACTGCTGAAAAACTCTGGAACATTTTAGTTTTGTTTTTATGTAAGACAATACTTTGCTGGTGAAAACAAAGTGCACTAAATATTGAAAAATGAAACACAATTAAGTGTTTCATTTGACAGAGGCACCACATATGTAAAAAAGTGTTTTTATGTGAAGCAATGATTATCTGTTATCTCACGCTACAGTGTGACAAATAAATAGGGGGAAGGTCTCACCCACTTTTATGATGCTAAGAGCCAACATGTGGCCTGAAGTGGCACGATGATTACGAGCTCACTATACAACAGAGCTGTTTTGCATTCAGAGTTTATACTTAAATCAGGAGCAAAATACACAATTTTTTGCCTAGACTTGTGATATTTGATTGTCAATTTCTCTTTTCACTCAGTTGGTATTTTGATTAGCTGGAGCTAATTGCTTTAAAATTAATCTTAAGCTTTCATTACACCCTGGAGAAAAACTTAAAATGCTATATAAGTGTAGCAAAGCAACTTATTCTTGATTCATGCTGTCCCTCTGGATTGGAAAAGCAGACACTACCATGAGCATTGTTTCTCCTCTGTGCAAGCAGAAGAGAGCAATAACTGCATGTTGACTTTGACACTGTTGTGTGATCATTAAAAGATACAATGACTGATTACACTTCTCTGCTCCAGTACCTGCACCTTCTCTACTTGACTTTATATCTTTAACATGTTGTGTATCTCTGTTCTTTTGATACTGTTGTCCTTATATTATATTTGTGTGACATTTGGACATCAGCTCTGGCAACTTTACCCTTGGATCCATTATTCAATTTGATTGTAAATCCTGTTCAACCTCCGATGTAAACTGACTTTTGTTTTTGGTAATCATATTTCTGTTGGTTGACCTTTTTCCCCCTTTTCAATTAATCATGGAGAAGACTTAGAATCAAGTAACTGAAATATTGTGTTGGCAATGCATCACACATCTACTTCTATACATAAAGGTTATCACATGTCAATTACAAATGCATATAGAAAAGAAATGTGTACCCATGAAAACCCCAAATAAGTATGTTGGTGCACTGTGCCCAAGCCAAAACTCTTAATAAAATTTGATCACAGCTTATTATAAGTAATTTTCCAACTTCAATTTAAATATCATATGATCCTAATTACAACATTTATATAATAGATTGACTGATGTGTATTTGGCTTATGTGCCAATTTTAAATCTAATGAAGATACAGCTGGTTTTTAATCATGATCTTTTCCTCTTATTGTGTGTATCAGTTAATTTGTGATAGTTTTATTTTATGAACAGAAAGTTAAAAGAATTTCACACAGTTTCAATGCTTCGGTCTGATTTTATTCAGGAAAAGACAGTAGAAAATCTATGTGTGACAATACATAGCTTTATAGAGCTCTAGTGAAAAAGTGAGTAAATACAGATCAATCGTATCAATCACAATACGACAGATTACAAAGCAGAGGGATCATTCTCTGTTAAACTTGACATTGTAGGTCACATAGTAGCCGTTGTTGTACATGTAGAGCTTCTGATCGGTGGGATTGTAGTCCAGGTTGGTGTATTTCTCCTGGAACTTCTGGAAGCGGACGTTGAGGTGTTTCTCCTGCTTGGTCTTCGTGTCGAACGCGTAGTAGATCTCCTCTGTGTTCAGATCCACCGACCTGGTGGCGTACATGACTCCACAGGCCATGAAAGCGTTGCCGGCCAACTGCTTGAACACACCGGTGTTCCACTGGTCCTCAATGCCAAACGATTTCTCATCTATTTTAGCGAGGATGATTTTACCTTTGCTCTCCTCTGAGGCATACATTACCCACAAGCCATTCTCATCAGCAGCAAAGTCAATGTTCTGATGGTCTGAGTAACTGTACGAGAACCTTTGACTGGCATCTGCGATTACTCTGTACTCATATTTGGAACTGGTCAGATTCAGTTTGCTCATACTGAAAGGTGTGTTGTGCTGGTAATATATGGTGTTACTGTGAACAATGTAGTTGTTACCAGTACCCTCCCACCCGCTTGGTAAGTCATGGTGTTTGAATGCGGACCTCAGAATCAGCTTTTCATAGTCGGAGTACAAATAGAAGTCATACACATAGGGACTGGTGTATGCACCGTAGAAGTACATTGATTCATAGCCTCTAACAGGTTTGGAGTCTTTTCCCCAGCCCCCATACTGGTAACCTGCACTCAGATGAGCATTCAGTTGGATGACGGTAGGCTTGCTGACCGCCATGATTCCTGTGTGATTGCAGTTGCCTGGGAAGACAAGAAAAATGTTAATATTTGGTGAGAATATCTGATTTTTAAACTGTTCTCCACAATCATCTGACTAGCTGTCTCACCAATATCTGGCTTGATGAACTCCTGCTCCTTCTGGCACTCCTGCAGCTTCTTCTGCAGCTTAGCAAACTCAATGCGGATCACCTCCAG